CTTTGGGCACCTTGATGCTGGGCATCTGCACCTTGGGCAGGTGGCCCTTCAGGCCGGGGCCGGTTCCGGCGGCGGGCAGCGCACCCTCCAGCAGCTTCATGGCCTGCTGGCCGGCCTCCCCCTCCTGCTCTGCCGTTGTGTCTATCCTGAGTGGTTCTTGTTCTTTTCGTGCCACTTGCTTTCCTCTTTCTGTCATCACCTCTTTAGTTGGTGACCACACAAATGCTGGCATTTTGAATCTGGACATTTTTGTCCTTAGGTCAGCACTCTCCTTTTCTGTATCCTCTCCGTGGGGGCCTTGTGTTTCCTGCCCTTTTCTCTCCCTGACCTCTGGTTTTTCTCCTGGTCCTGTGCCTCCTGTCTTAGGCTGAGCTTTTTCCACACGCTGTGTCTCTGCCTGTCCCTCAGCCTCGTGTCCAGCCAGGACTGTGCTTGTGGTTTCCCTGCTCTGCTTCTGCCCTCGCCCTTTCTTGTCTTCTATCTCTGGGCCTCTTTCTGTGGAAAAGGTAAATTTCGGTGTCTTTAACTCTAGTATCCGTACCTCGATTTCTTTCAGTGGTGTCTGGGTGCCGTCTGTGACTCCTGTGCCCCTCAGGGCTGTCGCCTGCATCCCAGTTGTCAGGCTTTGCGCTTCTTCCCATTCATCATCCTTGTTTGTCGCCCGGGTCGGTTGGGCTCTGGCTTCTCCCTGTGCTGTCGCCTGCTCTGTGGGCTTGTCCCACTTCTTCTTCCTTTGGTGTCCTGCCGTGGCCCCTTCCCCTTGTGCGGGGAAGCTGGACTCCATGGCCTGCTTCATGGTCAGTGCCTGCCTGGCTTCTTCTGCCTGTGCCCCATTCTGGCTCTTGTCCCCGGCCCCTGTGTCCTCTGTGCTCTCCTCCAGCACCCCGGTGGTGTCCAGTCCCCCAAGCCTCTCTCTCTCCTGGTGCCCTGCGGTGGATGTTTCAGGCCTGGAGCCCCTCCTGAACCTCAGACTCAGGAATCTCCTCTTCCTCCTCTGGCCATCTCTCCTTCCCTTCTGCTCCCCGTGCTCAGCGGGGAACTGAGCCTCCGTGTCTGTGCTGGTGGGGGACACTTCCCGGGCACCCCCACGCTCGTAGGCTTCAGAGGAGCTGTGTGAGCGCCGGGGCCCTGGCCGCTGCTTGCCCTTCACGCCTTGGAACTTGGGCCAGGAGAACCTGTCCCGGGACTTCCTGCCTCGGGCCTCCGTGGGCTCGGTGATGAGTCTCTCCCGGTCTCCGTCCTCCTCCAGGGTCTTCTTGGGTGTCTCCTCACACCCGTCTGCAACCTCTTTGTCCTGCAACACAGGGAGAGGAGGCTTGTTGGGGCCGTGGGCTGAGGGAGAGGCAGCTGGGTGGCTGTGGCAGCCTGGGCATGGCACCCTCTCTGCATAGCCTCACCTGCTTCTCCTCGGACCGGTGCTGGGCGCTGTGCAGAGCCCACTCTTCATGATCAGGGGCATGGAGCTTCCGTTTGATCTGGAACTGCACCTTGTATGGCTCTGAGTACTGCAGGATCTTGAGCGCATCCTCATATTTAATGCCATCAAAGAATATGGTGGCACTGAGTAGCTGGTCACCTGAAGGAAGAACGGCGAGCCCCTGCTCAGCACCCCTCTCAGGTAGGAGGTATCAGAGGCCCCTGGCTGGGAGCAGCTGGGTAGAGACTTGGGGCTTCCCTAGCTCTAGGTGCTCCTGTACCCTCCCACCCCACTGCCGAGGATAAAGACCCCAAGGCTGGGTGGATGGACACCTTCTCTCAAGCTGAAGAGCTTGGCTGCAGAGGAGTCCTTCAGCACTTGCTTGACAAAGATTCCCTGGTCTCCACCACCTGTGACGCTGTAGCCGCTGGCTCCCACCTCCACCTCCGTCTTGAGCGTCACCTCTGTTGCCTCCTGCACAGGCTGGGGCAGAAGCACACCAGAGCCACAGTGAGCACGGGCCAGTCCCCTGGGCATGCTTGCTGGGGTGGTGTTCACAGAGGACCGGGACCACACCATCTGCCTGTCACACTGGGCAGAATGAGGCGGAATTGGGGATTCCGGCCAGATGGTTCAGGCTGGAGGGAGCCAGCTGCAGGCAACTGCAGCGGGGAGCTGCTTCCTCTTGTCCCCGCCCACCTGCTGGAACACAGGAGCAGTGTGTCCACGGCCACCAGCACAGCCAACACCTCCTTCATCACAGGGCCCCCAGTGCCTGAGCCAAAGAGGGACAAAAGCCCGAGGGAAACACAGGCCCTCAGTGCAGCCTGGCCTGAAGGCAGTGAGCCCTAGCTGGGACCCTCAGAGCCTGCCACCTTCCTGCCCCACAGCCTGGGCACTGGTGGCCCTGGCGTCCCAGTGCACAGCAGGACAGCTGGGGTCTGTGCCCCGAGCCCCCAGGAAGGGTCTGCCCTCTCTGTCACTGTCCCCGGGTGGAGGGCAGCTCCCTGAAATCCCACACCTCCTCCTCAGCCTTCTCCCCACCCCGTGCCCCCTGCACACCCACCTGTGGGCGACTCATGTTGGAGAAGGTCCGAGCGTCACCTGAGTCCCGCTTCCACCAGGATCTCCGTCTCCCTGAGGACCCCCGCCTGCTGGGGGCGTCGTCCTGCAGCCACAGGGGTTGGACGTCACCCTCCCCCAGCCCATGGCACGGAGTTACCACCCTGAGCAGCACAGGAAGCACCTGCCCACGTCCCCTGCTGAAGTGGCTGGAGGGTGCCCACAGGTGTGCACACAGTGCCAGGCCAGGACCCCACCCCACATCCCCCAGAACCAGGCTAGCTGAGCAGAGGGATGAATGCCCAGGACACTGAGCAGCAGAGGGGATGGCTGGAAGGCCACAGCTTTGGGGCACTCACTGCAGAGCTCACCTGGACTCCAAAGCCGTCACCCTCTGTTGCACATTCATAGACAGGAGAAGACCCCTGTGGCCGGGGTCGGATGATCTCCCCTGCAGGCCCCTCGGTCACCTGGTAGGAGGAGAGAAAGAGTCACCTTCGGCCCCTAAGGCTCTGCCAGGTCCCCAGAGCAGGTGGGCAGGTGTCTGAGGAGAGTCACTTACAGAGGTGTCCTCAGTCTCCACATCTGGCTCCTCTGGCTGCAGCTGGCGGCCAGACACTGTGGGGAGAGAGGTGCTAGTCAGTGGAGATGCAGGTGGAGGCATCGGGGACTGAGGCGGTACAGATGTGCAGGCAGGGCACGCTGGGCTGGCACAGGGGCAGGGGAGGCTGGGTCAGCGTGGCGGCTGGGGTTGGGGCTAGGAGCTCAGACAGGAGCAGACCGTGCAGATTATGCCCTAGGAGTTACTGAACCAACAAACAAACAGCCACACCCAAGGGTGAAACAAGAGCATAGTTGCTGCAGTATATTACCTTAGCCACCAGCATTCAAGGACAAATTCCAAGATACACAGAGAAACCAGAAGGTCTGAGCCACACTGAGGGGCAAGGGGCCAACAGACTTGTGCCTGGAGACCCACAGGTGTCGACATAACAGACCTCAGAGCAACCACCACGGTCTGTTAGAAAAGTATGTCTAAAAAGTTAATGGAAAGGAAGATGATAATGGCTAACAAAGACAGAATCTCATACAGAAATAGAACTTGTGGGGCTGGGGATTTAGTTCAGCGGCACAGCGCCTGCCTGGCAAGCACAAGGTCATGAGTTCAATTCCTGGTACTGGAAAAAAAAAAATCAAAACCCACAAAAAAAAAAAAAAAAAAAAAAAAAAAAAAAAAAAAAAGAAATAGAACCTGGTTGGACATGGTGGTGCCAGCATATAATCTCAGCTCTCTGGAAGGCTGAGGCAGGAAGATGGCAATTTCAATCCCAGCCTGAGCAATTTAATAACTTAGTGAGATTCTATCTCAAAATGAAAAATAAAAAAGGGCTGAAGATGTAGCTTGGTATGAAGGCCTTGAGTTCAGTGCCCAGCACCACAGGAAGAAGAAAGCAGGTAGCAGGAGGAGGAGGGGAGGGAAGGGAAAGGAGGAAGGGGAGACGAGCTCATTACATCAAGTGAAAATTCTGGAGCTGACATTTAATAGAAGGGCCCACCTGCAGGCTTGGGATGCCAGAAGAAAGAACCAAAACCTTGTAGATTAATTCTAATCATCCAGTTCAAGAACAGAGGGGCAAGGATGGGAGGAACACGAGCAGTCTCACAGCTCTCTGGGGAGACTGGAACATTAGTTAGAGAAGGAGGCCGAAAAATAGTTGAGAAGCAACAGCTGAGGAAAGTCAAGGAACCAGGCCCACACTGAGGCCCACGCCCACAACACAGTCACTGCCTACCCAAGGCTCGGAGGCATGAGAACACCACACACCTGCTTCTCCTGTGCCCACGGAAGCCGAGAGGGGCAGGACACCGTCCACGCTCTGAAAGGAAAGGTGTCCACCAAGAACGTGACATCCAGCAAACTGTCCTTCAAAACAGGAGCCATTCCCAGAGGGACATGGCAGAGCAGAGCGCTGCCCATGGGAAACTTGTGTCCCCAGGAGAAGTAGCATGCAGGCGTCCTGCACAGGTGGGAGGATGCAAAGCGCATCCACAACCAGAGACGCTTCGGGAGGTCAGGAGTGTCCTTGTACAAACTAGGACAGTGACCTGCCACTGGGATGAGACCACTGCCCCCTACAGGCCTGATTCCCACAAGGCTGATGTGCTCACTCTGGCTTCTGCAGGACATAAGATGGCAAGAAGTGACCACTGGCAAACTTCCGCTAAAGAGAGACCAGGTGGTCCCAATCCCTGCCGCAGAGGCCACTGTGTCCCAGGCCTCGTGGACAGAGGAGCTGTGAGGCTGGGGCACAGCTGTCCACATGAACCCTTCTAAGGCAGGGCTTCCAGGCCCGTGTCACTGTGACAGCGACATGTGTAGACATGACACATGCGTGACAAGAACAGGCAAGGGAGTGGTTGGAGAGATCAGGAGATAATGTGGAATCCAAGGCTGTGTTTCACCAGAACTGGGCTGTGTCACCCCGGGGCCAGGGCTGGGGTGAGCACAGGCCTCCCAGGGTGGGGACCCCAGGACGAGGGGAGGGTCCAGGCCCACGGTGGTGGTTGATAAACCCAGTCAAGTTACCGTAAGCAACTGAATTGCGGGGTATGCTTTAGGGTGAGCAAGGTGATACCTCTGTGAAGCTGTACGGTGTATGAAACAGGCACACTGTGCAAGTTAACAGATGGAGAACAAAACAAGGTGAAGGACAGAGCGAGAGTAACAGGAGTCACGGATCAGTTCTACAGGATGCTTACAGCACATGTGACACTGGAAGGCACACTGAAGGTGCATAACATCACCCATAAAACAACCACCTAAAAACAGGGAGCTGTGTACCCAGTCAGTCTATAGTAGAACTGACATGGAATATTAAAATATATGTTATAAACACATATACACCATGGATAGATATCATATATGTAATTAAGTATTTTTACGTGTTAATATGTTAATCCAAAAAGCCACAGTTAAAGATTAAAGATTTGAAGTCAGGCATGCTGGCACAAACCTGTAATCTCAGCATTCTGGAGGCTGAGGCTGGAGGGTTCAAGCCCTTCTTGGACTACATAGTGAGTTCAAGCCCAACCTGAACTTCACAGCAAGACCTTGTCTCAAAAACCAAAATAAATTTATTAATTAAAGATTTGAACAGACATTTTACAAAACAAGATGTACAACTGGCCAATAAGCACAAGAAAAGGTGACCAACATGATTTGTCCCTGGGGAAATGCAGGTTAAAACCAGCTGAGCTGTGGCCCCAGGCGCATAGGCCGTGGGAAGTCATGCTCTCTGTGCCCACTGGAGGCTCTCAGGGAAACCTGAGAAACCCACACCTCAGCCCCAGAAAATACAGGCTCACAGTGAGCCAGGGTTACAGTCTAGCTCCCAGAGGACAAGCAGAAATGACAGGGCTGAGAGCGTAGCCGGGCGGTAGAACACTGACTTGCCTGCATGTTTGAGGCCAGGAGTTTCATTCCCAGCGTCTCTCTCTCTCTCGCTCTCTCTCTCTCTCTCTCTCTCTCTCTCACACACACACACACACACACACACACCAGTAGGAAAAGCTCAGGGAGTTCACAAAGGAAGGCACGGGTGGGCATCCAAAGCCTATGATTGTGGCTCTCAGAGCACTACCCAGCAGAGCCACATGAGGACCCAATGTGTTCCCCTAGGAGCACCCCAAGGAGCACCCCCTGAGGGTGCTGGGAGTGTAGGGCAGCAGGACACCTTTGGGAGAAGGGTCAGTTTCTCAGCCAGGCTGCTGGCTGCCAAGGCTGTCACAATTTACACCCTTTCTCGACAAACACTTTAAAATTCTACCTAAAGTCAAAGCAGAGAAATGATAAACTTCATGCCAAGAGATATGGAGACTAAGACTAATCGAGAAACAACACTGCACAGGGAGCCGTGAGCATGTAATGGGCCCTGGTAACACCGGTCCACATGGAGCAAGGGTGCTGACCTGGCCCAGCGACCCCCTGCTGACTTTGGCTCTACAGGTTTGTAAAGTGATGTCTTATGACTCAAAGTGCCTTCACTGTGCCAGGCACTGTGTTTATTTCTCAGGAGACAGGAAATTAGTAATTATAGGGGCCTTAACCCAGCCCACTGCCTGGTTTTGTGAATAAAATTTTATTGGAACACAGAAAAAACAAAACCTCCCCATAAACAGGACTCCAGGCCCCAGGCCTGTAAGTGGCACTAAATGTTCAAAGAAACAAACGGTGCCAGCCTGACACCAACTCCACACACAGGGCTGGCTCCAGGGACAACTTCCCTCCTGACAGGGGTGCAGGTCTCCCCCAAGCCACCCAGCAGGGGACCTCAAGGCTTCAAGGGCCTGGTGCCTGGTCAGCACTACAGGATGGAGCCCCTGCAGCTGTAGATTATAGAGTGAACACCCTTATCCTACAGGGTGCCTCCAGCCCTGGGACCATGTGCTTCCTATCCCATAGTGGGTGCTGTGGCCTTAGAGACCGTCCGCTGAGGAGACAGGGAGCCAGTCCACAGGGCATAGGTCTGGCTGCAGCTCGGCCAGTGTGCCCTGGGCTGCCAAGCAAGCCCACGGAGCTGGGTGTTACCCAGACAGGGGTGCCCCAGCCACTCCTAGCCTCCCCATCCTCCTCCAAGGCAGCTCTAGCCAGGCCCAGCTCTGGGAGGAGGGATAGTATCCTAGGGTTGGCTAGGCTGGGCGTGGGAGGAGGCCTGGAGCCATCAATGCCCATCCTACCTCCTACCTACCATTTGTGGCCCCTAGAACCCCTCAATAAACCACAACTTTAGTTTCCACACCTGCAAAACCCACCCTAGGCAAGAAGTCAGCGCCCAGCACCTTGGTCTCCCCCAAGTCCCAGCTCCCAACCAAGTGAGAGGGGAAGCCCTTCCTCTCCCACAGGGCCACCCCCACACAGAATCCATCTCACTCGATACTCAGCACCAGCCTGCCCCCATCACCCTGCACCCCAAACATTTGCAGTCCCTGCCCCTGCCCACACCCAACCTGGGGATCCCTGCCCCACTGGACCTGTTATGACTCCATGGGGGTACCGGCCTATGGAGGGCATGGAATGGGGGTCCAGGTGGGGTTCTGGGGCCAGTTCCCCTTGCCAGAAGCTAGGGCAGCACAAGCAAGCCTGTGCCCTCTGGGCCTTGGCTTCCCTGTTGTGCCCAGAGCCCCCCTTTCCATCCCCAAGGTGGGGCCTGGCGGGTAACACAAGAGAATGCCAAGACCAGGGAAGGGGAGCCACTTCCCGAGGTAAGGAAGGTACCCCAGGGCCTGCAGAGCCCCACCCTGCCCAGGGCCACTTCTGTGAGCGACTTTACAGTGACTTCCCACCCCCTGGAAAGGCTGCTCCCCCAGTCCAGGCTGAGTCACAGCAGAGGAGGGGCTAGTCACACAGACCAGAGGAGGGTCTGCGAAGGGGCAGGGACCTGCTGGGCAGGGGGTACAGACCCAAGGGCAGTGAATAAGCCAGGCCCCCCCTCCATCAGGCAGGGCTCCACCTGGCCCCATGAAACCGTATACCAAATCTGCTCCAGGGGAGCCCCATGAACAAAGGTGTGCTGGGTGGGAGGCCGTGGGCACACCCCGCACTGAAAACCAGGAGCAGGAGGGCCTGGCCATGGCTTAGCAAGGTCCACCCCACACCAATGCACTGGGCCCAGGGAGTGGCACAGCCAGCCCATGGCCACACAGCTGGGGCGTGGCCAGGCCCCTCTGTACTTCAGGGCTGGCATAAGCCTGGCCCAGGGACACACAAACAGGAAAGGGGACATCCGGCCCGTCCAACCCCCCAACAGGAGCACAGGGCCTCCCGCCAGGCTCTCTGTCCACAGATTAGCACCAGCACTGGGGTGGTGACGCTGGCTATTGACAAAGACCACATGAAAGTGACACACCTGAGCTAGCCCCAACCAGTCTCACACTGGCACCTGGTACCTCCCAGACACCTGTCCGTCCACAGGGCCTCAGACACCACCACTAAGCTCCCACCCCTGCACCCTCAGAGGGACCCATGGCCCCCTTTGCTCCTGGGCCAGGTGGGAGTGGGCTGTACCCAGGAGCTGGGCTATTCTAAGGTAGATCCTGAACACCCTGGCAAGAAGTGGGAGGGCAGGTGTGGAGGAGGCACCCTGCCTGCCCAGCTGACCTACACACTTGGTGTCTGGGGGCATTGCAGTAGGGCCAGGAGAAGGGTTTAAGCAAAACCCAAGTCTGCATCCAAACCTGGCACTGTCTGGCTTGGCCTCCAGCATGGTGGCAGGTTTGCATGTCACCAGGGCAGCAGGGTGGCCTGAGCATGCACGCGCAGGGCTTGCGTGGACACAGGTGCCAGTCAGGCCAGCTCTGAGTACCAGAGACAGGCCCGAAGGTGGCCTGGCAGCAGGAGACCGAGGCAGCAGTCTCTGGGGTATGGGGCCTGGCACCCAGCCACACAGGGCCTTGACTTACACTTGGGCCATGCCCAGCCTAGAGCTTCATTGGGAGGGTTCTAGGCTCTGCTGACCGTCACGGGGCCAGTAGACCTCGTGGAGCACACTCAGGCAGCTAAGGGCCAGCCCATCCTCTCCGATAGTCCCGCAGATAACTGTGGGGGAGGGGACAGAGCAGCCCAGCAGCCTGAGCGGGCCCAGGACACTTCTCCCACCCACAGTCATCCTCCACTGCACCTACAGGCTATTCCTGCCACCCTGTCTTGAAACAACCTTCTGTAGCTCCCTGGCACCATCCATCTAAAGCTGCTCCTACCTGGGCCCCAGCACACTGAGTTTGGGCATCTTGCCACTGCTTCTGCACACTGCCTGGTCCCCAGCCCCCTGGACACTGGCCCACATAGCACTCAGACCTTGGCACATAGTAGGTGCACAATAAATGCTAGTGCCAGGAGTGGAGGAGGAGGGAAGGGAGGGAGCTGGTCACAGCTCCTGGCAAGGGGTGAGCCCCTCCCGCCCTGTACCAGGACCCGAGTCCTTAGACTAGAGGGGCAGCCAGCAGGCCTAGGCCATCTCCTGGAGAAATGGAAGCAGGAGGCAAGTGTGCTTAGGCCACTGACTGTAAGAAATTCAGCAGTCCACAGGAACAGTCCACCCCTCCCATGGGGGCCAGTCAGCCCCGGCCTCTCTGTGGGCAGTGTGACCCACGAGGGGGCAGCCACCGTCCAGGGCCATCGTCCCATCTGTCACTCCCAGGAAAGCAAGCCAGCCCATGCCTAAGCACCCTCTGTGACCCCACCCAACCACAGACCCTGGACCCACTCAGCCCAGCCTGGATCTGCAGCTCCCACTGATGAGAGGGCCCTGAGGAGCCCC